GTGGAAAGATGCCGGCAGTTACTCCGAGATTAATTTCGCAGTCGCGTGTGAAAACATCTAATCCATGGGTCTGTAAAGTATTTTAGTATATACACATGCCCATACCTCCTTCCAAATCCTAGTTTCCAGGTGACTTTCTAAATTTCCAGAGCACCGATATGTATGTACAGTATCGGTCATATCTATAGCACGCCATTTCAAAGTGATATTGTATGCCACTTATGTTTATTTATTTATTTTAAAAAGAATTTTCAATTAAAATATATGTAGTTCATTCTCAAACAAACCCCATGTAAACCCAAGTTTAATAATTTGTAGTAAACTACAAAAAAGTGTAACAAATGTTCACCTAAATTCACGAAATGTTTTCTCCTTACCTATCGCTGGTGGAATTATTGCCATTTTCCTAGCAACAAAATAATAATTAACGTAACGCCGCCACCATCAACATTTCCTACTGGTTATTTTCTCATTCACACTATATCCCATTCAAATTTAGTCATTAACGCATAATCAAATAAATAACGACCCAAAAAAAAAAAAAATACAATCATTAAACCAAACATTATTAATACATTTTTAATACAGAATAATTAAAAAATTAAATGTGCGCTTTTATCGGCGTTCATTTAACCAAATAAAGCCCGGTGAGAAAAAAGAAAACGGCCGAAAAAACTTTGCAGCTTCATTGCACGTGTGTGTTTTTGTGTGTGAGCGCATTAAGTTTAACGCGCAAATATTGCAAAAATGCGATATAATTTTATTTTATCGACAAATAATTGCAATCCCATTAGGGCGGAGCCGCATCGCAGCTGCTTTAGCTGCTGCTGCTGCAGTGCGCCAATTAAGCGTGTATTTACGATGCCACAGACACACACACACACACACATACACGCACACAAGCGCTCATGTGGAGCCAAATGCATTCGGATGCGCTCTGGTATGCGCGTGAAATCGTGCTCATTATGTAAATGCGAAACTTAAAATATTTAATAATAATTGAGCGTGAAAATGCGCGACGCCAACAAATGCTCGATGCGATAGCAGCGACCTGCGTGACACGCACATTTGCCCTTTTGCAATGTTAGCCGCGCGCGTGTGTGTGCGTGCATGCGCATGCATGGGCATGTGACCCCAGCTAAATATGTACCTACGCTTCTTTCGGCCTCCACCGACTCCTTTAATTGCATTAAATTCGCACATTCATGGGTTAATTGCAGGTCGCTTACCGCGAAACACAAACGCACAGACAGACAGACAGAGAAACAGCCGGAAGCGTTGGACAATCGCAATTAAACAGAAACCGCACGCATGTGCAACACAGCAAGGGCAGCAGTAAAGCAGTAACAGCAACAGTGGCGGTAATGCATCCTTGTTACTTTTTTTTTGCCTATTGTCCTTTCGTGTATCCTTTCGAGTGCAGAGCAATGTTGATGGTATTAATTTCAACTTATTGAGTTGTAGCTGTTCGCTTTTTTTTTGCAATTTTTTTTGTTGGTCGGCTTTAGTTGCGTGTTTGAGTGTGTGTGTGTGCAAGTGCTGCGCGTGACCGGAACACTCAATTAAGCGACATATAGATTTATTTGTTGGCATTTTTTAAGGGATTTCTTTTGCCTCGTGCTGCATCGGGGGATTACCTAGAATGCATCGGCGGGTTAACTGGCTTTTGCTTTTAAGAGAAATGTTAAGTTTAATTAAAAAGTGTGTGTAAAAAGCTAAAGAGTTTGATGTATGTGCTTCTACCTACATAAGAAATGCATAAAATGGATTTTTAGTTGGCGAAAAAAATATTGTGCTAACATTTTTCTTAAGTGCACAATTTTTTACAAAAACACATTAAAGGAACAAAATTTTTGGTTTTGAAAAAATAGATACTTTTACTGCCACCATTTTTTTTTTTGGTTTTTACTTTCCACCAAATCGAGCTGGAAAGGGCAAAGGAGCCAATAATGGTTGAAGAGCCCAGTTTCCAGGTGTTGATAGTTTGTGGTTCACAATATCCATGGTGATTGATTGAAGGTCGATGTATGTATTTCACTCTATCTTTCTCCTCGTTCCTTTCTCTGCTGTACTTCTATCTCTATTTGTGTTTCGATTTATTTCCTTTCTTTGCCTAAATATAGCTTTATCATTATCTCTATACTTATTTCTATGCCTTCCCCTATCTGTCCCTCTATTTACATCTCTCTGTGTCTCTGTTAATTTTCTACCCCTGGCCATCTCTAATTCAATCTATATCATTATCTCGCTCGCTATCTCTACCTCGATCTCAATCTCAATCTAAATGGAAATATATCTACATATTCATATCCATCACCATATCTTTTGCTCTCTAAATATCTATTTCTATCACCACCTACACCGTGACTTCCTTCTCTATCTCTATCTAAATACTTTGCAGGTATGGTCCCATGGTAGTTTGCGAAACACTTACCTCCTTTAAATATTTCCTTGCCTTTGAACGGGCCTTATTTTTCTTAGCTTTCAGTGCTCCTTTTTTGGGTTAAGATAAGTTGGGTAGTTTTCGTAAGGTGTGCACACAATGGGAAATTATAGAGCTTGTCCCTTGTGGAGCGCCTTGAAACGCCGCCAACAAGGTTACAAGACAGCCGAATATCTATCCTCGACAGTTCCCACAGAGTTGGCTATAAAGTGCGAGCCAGAATATTTCGCGAAAGTAGGGCAGCCTAGTAGACGTAATTTAACCTCATCTTGCTGCAAGCAACCCATTTCAATCCAACAGTGAACTGTTGCAACTTCCAATAAAAGTGCGAGTTGTGGCTAGCGAAACATAAGGACCGTCGCCGATCCACACTGGGAACCTTGCCATTTTACATATTCTGGATTTCATGATCGTTCGGTGAGCTGACATGAAGATCATCTGTCCAAGAGTGAATCACCAATTCCTACCAATTCGACAGAAAATAGTTAGTGCAATAGATGAAGGTCTAGACTTACTGAAGTCTGAAGAACTTGGGTTGCTGTTCGAGACTCTAGTAAACAAATTCTATAGTAGGCGAAATTATATATTATTAATATATATATACATTATTAATAACAAATCTAAGTTTTAAACTTTGTGCAATATTTAAAAAAAAAATTATCAACTTTCAGAAAAATTCCGAGCTGCTTTAATTATGTATATTTCTTAGAAAGGTTTTTAGTGCGCAGTTTTGTAGCACATACAATTTCAGCTTAATGAAGTGGAGATCGGAAGTAGTTTGGACTTATCGCTGATTTTTGGCAATTTTTTTTTTGTGTCAGGTGTTGCTCATTTGCTTCCAAACTCGTCCAAAATACTTTACATATAATTTAAATCAACTAACTCGAAACCATACACTCTTTTGAAGTGTTATAAAAATGAGCCCGCCTATTACCTTTTATTCCAATTATTACGAAATAGTTAACAGATCGTTAAAGCTGAATTCTGTGGTATTCACTAAGATATAAAAAATAAAAAACTAACAACGTTACCTAATCAAAAAAAGAAATAAAAAATAATAACAAATATAAATAGTCAAATTGTTGTGGTTAAAGTCTTGCAATAGTTGGTTGGTTTTTTTGTTTGGCTTTCCCTTTAGTCTTCTTTTCCGACTTTGGTTTTATTAGGCGCAAAAACTTTTGATGGCTACAGCAAACAAAGTCGCAAAGGTCACGCCAGACTATGCCGACCGACCGACCGAACGACTAACTAACAGCTCATTTACGACCACACATAAATCCCAGTAGGTTAGAGCTATGAAAAGCCAGTCAATGGCTTTTCACTTAATCATAAAAAATGCACACAGTTAGGCGCATATAAAGTTACAACACCACAAGACCAGCAGCAGAAATTCTTATTAGAGATAGTGTAGCCGGCCACTAGATAGATACTGTTGCTGATGTCATTGCCATCATGCAACATGATTTCGTTGGCTTTTGGGTAATGACCGGCGCTGCGTTGCGCAACAGCAATCCAGGGCGTCGTTGATGCGCTGTGGTCAGCAGACGCAAGTATGTATAACTACTACTGCCATTTACTTTCTTTGCTAACGTTTTCTTCACACGACACACCTTTCCTCTCAATAGCTCGGTCATTTGACTACTTCCGTGGTTGGCTTGCCTTTTGTTCTGTTGCAACTTTATGACCATAATTGCTGTTGGTTGCTGCTACCAAAGTGTTGCAATGCCAATATAGGATAGTTTCTTTTGTTTTTTTTTTCACATATTTTTTTTTGCTACTGTAACTGACATTTAATAGGCTGGACCGAAAAGTTGCACCGTAAGGCAACTGAACTTTTGTAAGCAAATTGTTGCAACAGACGCACAAGTCCTAAGTTGAAAATTGTATTTAAAAAAATTCTGTTTTCACACTTTGCCTGGCAAGTTCGTGTTTTAGCTAACTTCTTTCGCTAGCGGCAGTGTAATTTCGAAATATATATAGTGAGCATCAAAAGTAAGTGTACCCTGACGTTTAGACTATTTATTTATTCACATTTTCCATACCAAAATGTTAATCTTTTATATATATATTTTTTTATTTTTATAAAAAATAGTTCATCCCACAGCAAAAACCATAATTATAAATATTTTTTAAATTTCACACAGAACTCGGGAAAATGCGTGAAACTTTCATCGCAATTTTCGTACCTTATTTCAAATAAAAAAAGATTGTGTTCATGCGTTGTATGGAAGATACAAATAAATAAAAGCATCAAAACGTCAGAGTATGCTTACATTTGACGCTCACTGTATATATTTCGAAACATACTTTTTAACCGACTTCAAAAAAAGGAGGAGGAATATTTTTTTTTTCTTCTTGCATCGGAAAGGTAGTGTCTCAGAGGTGGTCCCATACTAATCTGGTTTAGATCCGATCATTGGATTATGGAAAAATAACGGTACTCCTAAATTTTTATATGAGAATTGAAGCCGGTTTTGTTTTTTGCTCAAAAATTACTTGTATATTTGTGCATTCTTTTACTCATTACATTAAATTCGCCTTTTTCTTCTATTTTCAGTGATTAAGTCTAAATTTTTCAAAGAAGTCTGAGCAAAACGAAATTTACACTAGAATAAGCTTCAAAGAAAGTATATTCTCGAAATTTTCGAAAGCTCTTTGATGGACAACTTAGTTGTTCGAAAAGCAGATGAAGAACACGACTACGAATAAATTTTTGTTTGTCGGAAAAGGAGATGAATTCACCTGAAGCAGAGCTTTTTGTTGATATTTCAAGCAAATCATTAATCCAGGATCTACTGTGAAAATACAATTGCATAGCCTGCGATCGGCCAAGCTCTTTTTGAGAAACTTCAATTGCTGTAAGAGTATACGAAATGACTGAAAGAGATGCGTAAATAATTTGGAGGCCTGCGAACGAAAACGCAACGGCAAGCAGAACTCTGGAACTGGAACTCAGGACTAAAATCCGGTTACCATTGCCAGTGCCAACTAAGCAACGAAATGGGTGAAGATGTATACTGCGTGAAGGGGTATAAAATAGAACTTCGAATGCTGCAATAATAACGTAAGCGGTATCGAATTTCCGGATTTATGTTGCTACAAATATTATATTTTTTGCTAAAAAATTTTTTTCAAATATTTAACTCTTAAGCACAGTATCTAGCTCTCAAGAAAACCTACATAGTCATATGAAAAAAATGCTCAAGAAATGGAAAAACAAATCTTAAGTGAATGAGTTTGTAGTTCTTAAAAAAAATGTTCATAGATATATTTATTTTTTCAAGAAAATTTAAAACGGAAACAATAAAAACAATTTCCTGTAATTTTTCTTGACGGCTGGAAACTAAGCTTTATAAGAACGCAACAACAAACGAAAGAAAAAAACAAATTAAGTTGAGCAAACGTTTCGTTGCGTGGGAACATTATTTACTTAATTGAAAAAATGTAATTTTAGCAATTAAAATTTAATGGTTACATATACATACATATGTATGTATCTTTATTTTATCGTATTTTCTGGCATACTCTACCTTCTAAACTATCCCGAGAGTTGAACCACTTAACATTTATTACTGTACATTTGCTTATCTTGCCACTGGTTTTTATAAAAAGCATTACAAGCCAGTATTTGAGGCAGTTGTTTAAGAAATTAGGTATTTTGTAAACGCTTCCTGTTGATCCTATGTCTAAAACGCCGTTAATTTAGGCATGGCGCTCGAACTATTCGATTTTAGGATGGAGCTATAACTTTTTCTTATTAATTCCTATGCTAGAAGAAATTTGTTGTTTTTGAAAAGTTTGCTATAACAAACATATTAACAAATGCAAAAAAAAAAAACAAATTAATAAAAAAAAGGGAAGGATGGCGTGAATTACACGTGCGTTATACTTCACTAATCATTTCAACCGTTGATGCTACAACCGAGCTTGTAGCAATCCTTTTGAGATTTGTAATCTCCAATAAAATTACACACCTACAATCTATTTAGTGGAGCAAACATATTGAAATTGACTGAAAAAATATTTTCTTTTCAATAGCATCTTCACGTAAAACTTTAATTAATCGCATGACGAACGACTTGTTTCCTTCGAAGTTTAGCAGCTTCAAAGAGACTGGTTGGCTTTTGGGAAGCCTGAACTCAAACAAGCGCTTTGTGTCATTTTTTTTTACTTATCCAATGAATTATTTCAATTCCAATTTTTTGGAAAAAAAAACAAGAAGAATAAGCATTGAGTACACATATAGCAAAAATAGGGTTGGCTACAATTACGCGGTGCAGTGCCGCTGATTTGACAAAAAAAAACGAAGTATCTAAATATATTTTTTTAGATTTGAATTATAATGGCAATTCATCTAAACGCGTAAAAGCCTTATATCCACGTAAACCTCGTACATTTTTTTTTTAATTTTGTACGTTAAACCGGTTTATTTACGAGGTATTTACGCGTTTATATGAATACCCTGATAATTTCTGCTAGCCATTATATATGTAGTTCTCAGTAAATATTAACAGCTTTATTTATAATCGCTGTGTAGAAAGTATTTCTCTTTTGAAGTTCACCTTTCTGGTTTCCTTGGTTCTTTACGGAATATACTCGTAGTAAGGTATCATTTCCACAGTTATATTTGTTTATTAAATTGTGTAATATTTTTGCCCACCAGGTGGCGCTTGACACAAGCTAAGATCGAAGCTTTTGTGTTCAAGGCAATAAAAACGCTTGACATTCGCGCCTGTTCCACTTTACTTATTTCACGGTTTCAGGTTAAATAAAAAATGCAAACTTGTATACAAAATGATTATTTTATTTAAAGTAATATTTTGATATAGGCTTAATCTCTGTTTTTAACCGAATTACATTCAGTTTCTTCAATCGATAGGCGTTTCCTTATTCAGGCAGCGCTTTGAGATTTGTCTCCAAGAGATTTATTTGCTTTATAAATACAGCTTTCTCAGTATCAATCTTTATAGTGGCTTAAAATGTTTTTAACTTTTGTACATTTTTAAGTGTTGAGTTACCATCCTTCCATTGCAATCCATGATGATGATGATATAACCAATCGATTGTGATCTTATCTTTCAGTGATAAGCTCGAATATCCGACATACATATAACATACAGAAAATATAATTAAAGGTGGATATGAAAATATATAAACAAACCTATAATATATTTATTGAATTAATAAACCAAGTGTAAATATATTAATTTCCTTTATTTATTTAATTTATTTCCTAATGCAACTAAACATCGCGGAAGTTTATTTCCACGCTGACTTTGAACTCAAAATCATTATACGTTCTTCGATTTCGGCTCATGATTTTAATGTCGTATAGAGCGGAACATTTAACATAATCGAATTCTATGAGTTAATGTTCCATGGAATAATTCCGGGCATACTCAAGCTCTACTTCGGTTTCTAAGTGCTTGTCAAGCACATAAGACGTCAGCTCTTCTGATCGCCACCTGTCGAGAAGCTTTTTTACCTTTTTTGACTGCCATAAGTCATTAAAAAAGTTTAGATAAATATAAATTTTACCTCGAAACAAGGAAACCGGAAGTGGCGGTAATAGAATCCAAAGAACTTACACATCTCATTTGATGCTGAAATTTTGGAGGTAATACAAAGTCTGCTATCCGATCGCCGAATTTCTTTACTCTACAAATTTGTCACGTAAATACATGAAGGCATTTGCTTTTTAAACTATAAATACCTAACTCGGGACCATATATTGATTCTTTAATGTAGATTTGAATCTTTCAAAACAAGGTTCAACCTTTACAGATTTGTGAATTAAAATCAGCAAAACTAAAGTATAGTAGTCTTAATCGTAATCAATATTAAAAATGATGAAGTTAGGCCCTTTTTAATTTTAAATATTCACAGGTTAGCATTTCAAGTTGACTAGCATGTATTTGATATATTGTTGCCAGCATTTCTTATTAATGTAAAGTAATTGAAAAGTATAAATTTCTATTCACAAAAGTTTGGTTTATTTTTTTTGCATTGAATTAACGCATCCTTGACACATTGGTGTAAGCATTTTAAATAAAAAATGATCAAGTTATGTTGCAAATATTTATTATCAATGCAATGTGATTTTAGTTTTTGGAAGACACAAGCTATGTTATTAGGTTTCATTAACATAATAGCGAGCTCTTGTATCAATAAAGAAAAAAATAATAATAAAAAATTGATTGATTATTTCGAGGGATTACTAAAATTTCTATTTCATACTCGTATACTCGTATACACGTAACATGTAACGGAAAACTTTGTCTTTTCAAATTAATTTGGCCTCACTACTGATGAGAATACTTGTTTTAAAGAAATAAATGTTGATAATAATATAATAAAATTATATTTCCTTTTCAGTTTCTATTATGAAATCAAGGCACGTTCTTTAATTCATACTGCCAACAGTTTCTATTTTTACATGTTGATTATGAGAAAATAGAAATGATGCAAGAATTAACGGTATTTGTTGATATCTAGCCAAACATAAATTCGGAAAAAAATACATCTATAGTTTTATCTGTTGCTATAGCATTAATAATATTTAAACTTTTCCATTGAGCATGACAAGTGCAAGTTTTCACGGTTTGACACCAATACATATTGTTTTATATACATTTAGTATTTATGTATATACATAAATGGTTCGCATTGCATTTTACAATAAATATAATGCCTTCAAAATGTTGACGTTTAATCATAGGAATACTCTTGGCTTCATCATTACTTATATATAACATATTAATGAGAAGTTGTTGATAAAGAACATATCTAAATATACATATGTATATTTGTACATTTGTCGAGATTTGTACATTCTGGCAGACACAGAGTGGTGTTGTCTAGAAGTTTCTCAAAAAATAAAAAATAGATTTCCAAACAACCCCACTTTGTAACTGTGAAAATGTGCAAATATGTACAAATGTACAAATCGTGTGATCCCAGATTTAGAATAGATTATAGATTTAGCGGAGGGAGGCAGGTCATCTAGTTACCGCCACCTGAAATAATCTATTTAACTTAGCTCTAGTTGGTGTATTGCTAAGAAATTTTGGGAGATCCTTTGGCTGAACGGCATTTAGGTTGTGTACTTCTAGGTACGTTGATCGCAAGAAGCAAATCCTGGTCCTAGCGAGAGAGCTTTACAGTAGCACATAATGTGCTCTGCTGTTACCTGTTCTTCGTTGCACAACCTACACTGATCAGAGTTAACAACTCCTGTCGTCAATATATTCCCATTTATATTAAATATTGTTGGGTATTATATGTCGATATTTAATGAATTTTGTTCCTTTTGCTTTAAACATTCGGTCGATAGTAACGTTTATGAGCAATTGTAGTAAATAAATAAAATTTCCTTATAATTTCCTAATTCCTAAACCAGTAGTATCTTCAATATGAATAGTGTTTTCGGAATTGAGCTTTAAGGTATCCACACACCTACGCGATTCTGTCGGTGCGAATCTGTTTCGACAAAAATTACAACAATGCATGCCCGACCATAGTTTTAGATGACGAACCACACACTTATGCGATTTTGTTGCAGCGATTTTATTCGAACATTCACAGTTCTTCTTTTCGTTGTGCCGAAATCGCAGAATGCCGCGTTTTGAGAAGAACTAAATAGGTCAGTAGACGGATTTTGTAAACTTAAAACAAAAATTAACGTAAGAAAACGAAACGTGTTTATTGTGGAAATGCTAAGAATAAAAGTTTTTGTGGAAAAATATTTTTTGTTTGTTTATGAAAAGACATTTTTCACTGCGATAGAATCGCACAGATGTGTGCGTTCTTGGGTTTTCGAAGTAAATAGTCAACTCTGTAGCTTCAAAAATGGTGCGGATCCGCTCCGACGGAATCGCAGAGGTGTGTGGATACCTTTACATCTTAATTACAACCATATAGTGTATCTATTGAAATTGTAATTATTTTCAAGTAATATTACATTTTTCAATAGCTGCGGTTGCGTAATTTATTTTGTTATCGTTATCGTCGCTAGACATTTTTAATGTGTTTGCTGTCAGTGTTTAGTTGATCTTTGGCCGTTCGTTTGTTGTTATCAGTGAGTTTAATGCGTCTTCTATGGCCACTTAATCGATTTTCACTTTTTCGTCTTACAATGATCAACTAAGTCATGTAGGGCTAGTTTCTCAATGTCTCGTTAACGACAACTACAGTTTAAACCTCGTTATCGACTTTTCTTATATATATGTTACGGAGTCGATAACGACTATTTTTGGAAATACAGATTCCATAACTGGAAATGTCAATTCTGTGCGTAATGAATTAGGTGAATTTGAAATAATCGAACAACAAACAGCTTCTCACTCAAAAAAGAAAAAACATTTTTAAATTTTTGTATTTTATTTCATTTTATTAATAATATGTTTATGTAAATGGTAAATTGCTAATGGGCGTGGTTTTGATTTATAATCTTTTAGAAATGAGACCGGTCTCCAATTAAATTGAAACATTCTACTTTTAAATGCTTCAATTTTAGGAGATATATCATTATTGGATAATATTATAACTGGTGTACGCATTATTACTGCACCACCTTGATATTTTACTTTCGCATTACATGTATCACCACCTAAAATACATTTTAAAATTTCTGATGCTGCTGGTTCCATCATAGGTGCATTCCACAGTATTATTCTTTTATCTACACACTCCATCAATGGAAAAGAACAATATCTATTAAAATTTCCCATTTGTTCATAATTAACATCAATAAAATACCCGTGTGCCCGTCCTGCACCCTGTACGCTTGCGCCTGTAGCATTTTCAATAAACAAATCACATCGAAATTTTGTTTCCATTTCTAAATCCCTCCTTTGATACTCGTTCTGTTTTTGGTGTTGCTCCAGTATATATTCTTCGATTTCCTAACCTCAAACTGTTAGAAAATTTTCGTTCTCATCCTCTTCGCTCCATTTCGCATTAAAGAAAGCATGGGCCTCTGTGGCTGGGATGCTCATCTTCGCTTTCAAGGCATACACATATAAGGCTTTTCCATGTCCTCAAAACGCATCAACTCCAGTTCGAAATCGAAATGATATTCTCAAAGACTCGAATACTACCAGGCATGATGTGCTGTACACGTTTCTCTAAGAAAACCAATAATTTCTTAAAATTTCCTAAACACTTATAAAAAGTTAGAGTTTTCTCCTTTTATGGTAATTATCTCCTGGTTTTCTATTCATTGCCTTTTTCTGAACCTCGTCTTCGAGGATCAGAATTATATATTCAAATATATTACTACTACCCTATTTCAAAGAAACTTCTAT